TGAATGACGTTCTTATCCCCCTCCCCGCACCCCCCACCCCCCTTCTTCTGGAAGCAAAGCAAAGTCCTATCGCAGCACCGAAACCGCAAAACCTGCAGAGAAGCGCGTGGCCTAATACCAGCGTGTGTGGCCCTAAATCCTAAAACCCTTTAAAGCAGCCCTGGCCGAAGGTAAGCTCTTCAGGGGCTCTCAGTCCAAGGCTATGCAGCACCCAGGAAGCACTTCAGGGTGTAGAATTTAGGGTTTAGAGTTTAGGGTTTAGGGTTTAAGGTTCAGGGTTGAGAGTTTAGGTTTAGGGTTTGGGGTTTGGGGTTTGGAGTTTTGGGTTTAGGGTTTAGGGTTTGGGGTTTAGAGTTTAGGGTTTAGAGTTTAGGGTTTAGGGTTAGGGTTTAGAGTTTAGGGTTTAGCGTTTGGGGTTTGGAGTTTTGGGTTTAGAGTTTCGGGTTAAGGGGTAGGGTTTTGAGCTACTGCTGCTTATCGTTGGTTTCGGTGACTGCGTCTTTTTTGTGTCTGTATGGGGATATGAACATCACAAACCCTACCTCCGTAGTATTGGGGTGTAGCGTAGGGTGTGAGAGTCCATCGCCGCTCCTCTCCTGCACTTTGCGTTCCAGCCAAACCCTAAACCTTCAGCCCTTAACCATAAACCCAAACCCCTATAAACCCTGAACCCTCTAACCCTTATCCCTGAACCCTAACCCCTAAACCCTCGACCCTCTAACCCTTAACCCTGAACCCAAACCCATAAACCGTAAACCCTCTAACCCTTAACCCTGAACCCTAACCCCTAAACCCTAAACCCTCTAACCCGTAACCCTAAACCCTCAACCCTCTAACCCTTAACACTGAACCCAAACCCCTAAACCGTAAACCCTGTAACCCTTAACCCTGAACCCAAACCCCTAAACCCTAAACCTCTAACCCTTAACCCTGAACCCAAACCCCCTAAACCCCTAAACCGTGAGGTACATGTTCTTCGCCGAGCGACAGTGCTTCAAGATACCAGGCCATGAGCAAAACCCTAGACCCTAAACCCTACTAAACCCGAGTAAACCCTACTAAACCCTACTAAACCCTACTAAACCCTACTAAACTTACTAAACCCTAGCCCTACGAAACCCTAAACCCTAAACTCTGAGTTATGCGATCCTGAAGGGAGGGGCTCTATAGGCACTCGGGGTCCGTAAAGGAATCCCTAGAAAACCTCAGGGAGCACTAGGGATAATAAAGATTCAGAAACTGAGGCAGAGCCGGTAACCTTCAACTTTTGGGTTTTGTGTAATCCTTCTACAAGAGTTCACTTAAAGGATCACGGGACTTAGTTTCTAGGGCTATAGATAAGGTAAGTATCCTTATACTTACTGATGACCCCGATCAAGGTATTTATAGCCTAACTTGCCAAGCCGCCTGATCCTCCAAGTAGGGTACTCAGCCCCTAAGAAACGCACTGTCTATGTTGGAGAAATTTACTCCCAAACCTCATGTCACTTGTGGTGGAAAGCTCGCTACACCCCGCAGAAGAGCCGGCCGCATGGGGCAGGAGCGATCTTCCCACCCTCCCCACTCCGCTCTGACTTCGAATCCTACAGTAATTAGTAATAGCACCCCGCTTACGGCCCTTGTCCTTAAACCATACCTAGCTATAGTCTCCCTTGTGGTTCTTTTTGTGGTTTGACCAACTTTGCATTTAGGATTCTGTAATGTACCTCCAAAAAAGAATTACAATGGAGGCTATAGGTAGGCCCTAAACTTTCCTAAACCCTAAGCACAAGGCGCCTAAATCGGTTGCAGCGCCGATGTGAAGGCTTGGAGTCCAAGCCCAAGCCCCTCAACAGCGCCGGCATCATCGGTGCCTGGGGCTTGCTTCATTATCGTCCCCGTGGCGCGTGCTTCGTTCCTGCTATGTTCATGCCAGTCGCCACGCTGCTAGCTAATAGCAGCAGCAGCAGCAGCAGCAGCAGCAGCAGCAGCAGTAGTAGTAGTAGCAGAAGCTACTACTACTACTACTACTACTACTCCTCCTCCTCCTCCTGCTGCTGCTGCTGCTGCTGCTGCTGCTGCTGCTGCTGCTATTACTACTACTACTACTCCTCCT